TTGTTCAGCCTTACTGTTTACGACTATCACCGACACGATACCTGAATGATATTATTATAAAAGGACGAAATATTTATTATATGTCAAGAAGATTAGACAAGTGCTATCATGTCTCAGTGACTGACCATATTCTGACGATATTGAAGTAATGTGAAAAAAATGCCTTCAGTTTTAAACTTTGTTCTTTTAATGGTAGTGTCGGAGTTAGCTCCTCCTTAATTTCCTAATTGTCACTAGGGCACGCTCTCCCTACACTATAAATGCTGGGTAATTTATTGCCTCATTCTTTTTTTTACTTTGCATTTCAGCGGACACATTTAAAAATGTGATCTCTTGCAGAAATCTGCGTTTTGTCCACTTATGGTAAAACGCCATGAAACACACACACACGTACATACAAACAGTCACCAAAATACAAACTTTTTACGTTCACACACAAATGTTAATGTCTATGTCCATTGTAATTTTGTTGTTTAATACATATATTTGTTGACATATATATATCGGTCTTGTTTGTTTTCTTTACATCTTCGGTTGGACTCAACTTGAGTCCGCCATGTTCTTGTAGTTGGAGCTTCTTCTAGCAGGAATAAACAACATGTGTTCCCAATCCAACAACACTTAAACCCACGGTCATCCACGGTAGTGTCATTATAAGAAAATTTGCCTATGATTTATAACATCCCTATTAACGGGTTAAAAGAACCAAATGCAATATGGCTACCAGAATATCAGCGAACATTGGAAGAGGTGAAGTTGGCGCTCATTTCGAACCTATTTACTGAATTCTGTCTATTCGTCCCGTGACTCAATTAATTCAAAGTTGTCATCGACGCTTAAATCTTTACGTATTTATCCAGACCCCGATCGCACGATTGTTCGTAACGGCCAAGGAAAATACAATTATAAAAGAAGCGCTCTCATTTATTCTTACTGTTATAAATTTTCCAAAATAATTGAATTCACCTGTGATTAAGTCGTGAAAGTTTCATTAAAAACCCGACAATTATTCGAATTTTGGAAGTATTTCAAAATCCATGTATTTTCCACCGAAAAAAAAAATAACTCTAAAATTTCTTTAAAACTTTAACCACACCCCTACCACATTGGCTGACGTAAAAAAAAAAAAACAAGCTTTTTAAACAAAGTTCTAAAAAGGATTACAAAAAAATATAATTTAATAGTAAAAAATACTTTGGCTTTTCCTCTTAATAATAATAAATTTTTTGTCGATAAAACTTTGTTTTTATTAAGTTTGTCGCTTTTTTTCATCATGTTTTACTCATTTTTAGCAAATCAGTGGAAGTAACTAAAATAGCTAATGTTGCGCACTATAAACAAATTTAAGACATTTTATCCCAATTGGCTCAGCTTTCTTAATTAAAACAAAAATAAAGCTCTTCTATCTGAAAGTTACACTATACAGAAAAAAAACTGCATATACGATTGTATGACATCGAAACGTATGTCACCGAAATTTGCTAGAATAAAAAAAAAAAAGAATTTTGAAAGAAAATTGATAACAAAAAACTGCCTCATTTTTATTTAGGGATTTTTACTTGACTGCAATTCTGCATCTTTAAAGACGATTAATAAGACAGTTTTGAATTTCATTCAGTGTCATTTTTTAACGTAGAACTGCTGACATGAGAACAATTTTATAAAATGTCAATGTTTTTTTTTTTATTTTTACAAAACTAATGACATCTCTTTGACTTAAATATTTCCTCAAGCTCAAGGTGATCATCAAGGAGACCCGATTTTAAGGCGTGGGGGGGCATCAAAAGGCCCGTAACGACGGAACTAAGGGGCACCCGAGAAGAATCCTTCTAGCTAGCAGTTCATAGAAGTGTGGCAGGGAAGGATGGAAAACTGTATTAGACTCGATGGGGGGGATATTTTAAAGGTAAAAGCTATGTAGTTTGTTGTTTCGAATGAAAATAAATTGTTTATGACAGCAATCTCGTTACTTTTCAGACACACCTCGTATATTATTTAAACTTCATCTTACAAGGAACGTAACACTGCGAAATTTCAGTTAATAATTTCAGTTAATAATTTCAGATAAAATTTAAATGAAAAATCATTTTAATATCGTCACGCACAAAAGTTTCGACACCGAAGTTTAAAAATATACGAAATTTCTCGTTCCCCAAAATTTCAATAGTACTTACACATAATGAATCGTTTCTGTCGAAATCTAAATTATGTATATATATATATATATATATATATATATATATATATATATATATATATATATATATATATGTATGTATGTATATAACACTTAAAATATTTTACAAAAGCAAATACATAATATCCACAAAGTAGACGAAAACTTATAAGAAACTTAATACATAGATACATAAGACCTACAGTGAAAAATGAACTTATTCATAACTGACTGCAAAAAATAATTTTGTCTATGAATTCGCTTAACCATTCTCTAATAATAACAATTCAAACAACGTTGGTTACACAATAAATACATTATCGCACCGGTTAACTTTCGATTTATATGGCAATAGCTCAATTAAATCGCAAATCAAAAAATGAACAGATCACCAAAACAACAAAGACATCGGAGAAATACTTATATAAAAAAAAAAACAACAAAATACTGTACTTTATAAACTCTAAAAGAAAATGACTAAATTTACCAGAAGCCCTAACCATATAAAAACATCAAATCACATTCTATAGAAATAAATATATTTCGCAAGTCATAAAAAGATTAAGGAAACACTAAAAGCTGACGCGTGACGGTGCGGTAGTTGAATAAAAAAAAAAAACAGAGGACGACAGCCGAGAGACGCGGGTTGCGCAATACTTCAAAACTACGACTGAAAAACATCGCATACAGATAGATACGAGTCTATGAAAAACGCAAAGAAAACCGTTTTTGATAATGTCATATAAGAACCAAAAGAAAACATGACATTGGTCAATATATGCTCAAATCCTCCTTGAAAATCAGACAAAGAATCGGAATCAGAAAAAGAAATCAAACTTGCATAAATGATGTAGGTTATGGGTTAGTATTTGTTTTATCTTTGGAGTCTTGAACTGGTTTTAGGTTGCGGAAAAGCAATTTGCTTTCATTTTTGCATTTGAAAATGAGCTCTGATTTTTTGTTTAGATCTTTCATTTTCCATTTTACTTTTGATATGTTTGAATCTGTGGCTTTGGGATATTTTAGCGTGTTATTTGTATAGTCTTGTTGTCAAAAGAAGGTATTGGCTGAGTAGCTTCTCTGTTGATCCCCCTCTCTCTCTCTCTCTATATATATATATATATATATATATATATATATATATATATATATATATATATATATATATATATATATATATATATATATATATATATATATATATATATATATATATTACAAAAAAAAAAAAAATTACCATGTTTAGGTAATTTTTGGTATAAAAAAAATACACATGCTCTGTTACAATACAAACATCGAGCACTCTGTGGATCAGTTTTAATAATTAATATTACTAGGATCCACCCGTATTATATACCAACGAATCAATTACGTATAAATATATATATATATATATATATATATATATATATATATATATATATAAAATGGCAAATTTCATAAAAATTCTTTTCTGGAGACACCGTATCATAGGCAAAACATGACATAATGAGTTGTAGATAAGCATAAATATAGATATATATCTACAGATGGGTGAAAGTTTATATTCATAAACTAGAAGTTTATACATAAATTTATTCTTACATGTATACATACAAATATTAACTCATACACATGCACACATATAAATTCATATTCATTTTTTATTGAAGAGAGAAACGGTCATTTTTATATATATATATATATATATATATATATATATATATATATATATATATATATATATAAGTTACGAAAAACTTGGTAATCCGTATAGGTAGTTACGAGGAGGATGAAATCCTGAGAGCTCAATGTAAATTCAGAGCTAATAATTGAAAGAAAAAAACAGACCACTTTAAGGCTCCATTGTAATAGTTTAGGGTACTTTAAAAGGTCTCTGATGAAATAAACTATTACAATGGGCCTTATATATATATATATATATATATATATATATATATATATATATATATATATATATATATATATATATATATCACGTATCTATCTATCTATCTATCTATCTCTCCTCTCTCTCTCTCTCTCTCTCTCTCTATATATATATATATATATATATATATATATATATATATATATATATTAATGTAACACGTATCTGTCGGAGACATTTTAATCTTAAAAAAGTCCCGACAAAATAAAGTAGTCGTCTTATGTTTCATGTATAAAATATGAATCTTAAATCCTGTGGTAGTTAATTCACAATTATCGCCTTCTTTTTTCGATTATGTTGAACAAAATCACAACTCGTTTAAAAATCTCATTCGAGAACAGTAGATTCAGTAGATGTTTAGCGGAAAAGAGTCATTCAAGCTAGCATAATAGCCTACCGAAAACACACCACTCACTCATGACGTATTGTAGATTGCAGTAATTAACTGACAATATCTCTCCACCATTTTTTTTCATTCCCACAAAATGTTTCCCACAAATGTTTCGTTTTGGGATATTTGCTGGACCGAGAACTTTCCAACGAACTTTTGTATATTAATATTTAATGTGGATTTTACTTTTGTGTTTGAAAATATTCTCTTTAGAAATAATATTTTTTTAAATGGAATATTTAATATTTCTATTTTGCTTTTTAAAAATCTGGATCGGTAGCCATATAATGAAATTTCAGATATTCTAAAAATACATTCCTTAGAAAATTGCTTTTACATTTTTAAATGAATTCAGAAAAATCAGTCTTATCTAATTTCTACTTTTTTTTAACTTTTTTCCGAATACATATTCCAATTCTTTAAAAAAAAAACCTTTCTTTTATTCTGAACTTGTTAGCTTTTGCTATTGGGTGCATCGTTATCGCCATCCTAATGTAAGGTTTACGGCCGCAGTATATTGAAACACCGGTTCCCGTAACATCATTGAAATTCAGCAACATCGAGCCTGGTCAGTACCTAGATGGGTGACCACTTGTGAATACCAGGTGCTGTAAGTGTAGATGTGCAGATTACGTATTGCATAATGACTTGGAATTGTTAATCAGAGATCTGTTTTCTAATTCCCGTTCGTTTCATTATATACACTTCCGCGTAAATACCCTTGGGAAAGAAATGAATCCACATCTCTTCCCCCCCAGCTATAGGTTAATTAGTAAGACTTGCATCACTAAATTATAATTATCTCCCCCTACAAAAACAAAATTCTTACAATTTAAAATATTTTCTGGGTTGAAATAACCAGCAAAGGTGTAATAAGCCTGTCTATATTTCTGAGATGAGGTATTATGTACAGTATTTACATTATTCGGACTATTGTCCTCATCTTTGTCGCCATATTTATCACAACGTTTCGGCCGTTGTACGTTCCGGCCTTCTTCAGGTGGTTGGAATTTCGAACTGAACCCTTTATTTCGATCACTGGTATCCATCAAACATGGCACGTGGAACTAGAACAGTCTACCCCAGTGATCGAAATAAAGGGTTCAGTTCGAAATTCCAACCACCTGAAGAAGGCCGGAACGTACAACGGCCGAAACGTTGTGATAAATATGGCGACAAAGATGAGGACAATAGCCCGAATAATGTAAATACTGTACAGTGTAATAAGCCGTTGATGGATGAATCAATCAATCTCCCTAATGTAGATTTTTGGAATAAGAGTTCAAAAATGGTTTCTTTTAAAAGACAACAACTGTTAGACAATATTTCTTTTCTTAAGAAAATATTTGTAATTTTACTATTAATTTTTTTTCTCTTTCTTTTACAGTTCAAGGCAAAATCAAAAATAAAATCATTTTCTCAAGAAACACCGTTTTTTTTCTCTTGTATTACTGTGAAAGATTTAAAAAAAAAACATTTTAGTTTTGTCTGGCTTCTGAAAGTCGTGCTAGGCTACAAGTCAATGAAACCTGGCCATCTGTTGTACCATTGTCAAACCTTTTGACATTGGCAGCCAAAATTTCTTAACAGACACAAAACATTCAATTCTGGCACTAGGACATTAGTGTTTCTAAAATTTAGAAAATATTCTTTCTTTACTGAATTTTTGGATTGAAAAGATGTTCGGTAATGAAAAGAAAAAAGTCTATAATATAAATATGCATCCTAGCTATTTACAACGATGTTCCCGCAGTACAAAGGCAAAAGGTGAAACAAGGAGAGGTAGAAGAAAAAAAAAGGCGAGTAACTTAATCTTACGTGTTTGTGTTAAAGCTGAGATAAGGTGAGATGGTAAAAAGTCGAACGTTGTTTAGAGCTACAAGGGACAAGAAGCTGTGAAGAGTCATGATCTCCCATCACTCAAACCATCCATATATAGAGGGCGTTGCTGAAAAGTTATCGGCTCGACCATGTAACCCTTCCACGAAAAATTTGTAAAGTTTGCAAATGTATCAACCAGAGAACTTTTCAATTCTCGCCTCTCATGTATTTGTAACGAAATGAACTCTCTGAGAAAAAAACTTCCGTCTTTTTATTAAAATTAAAGAATCACTATCGCTATAATTAATAAGAATTCGATTGAAAAATATAGAAACTAGTTTTTGAACAATCAGCGTTTGCTACTTCTGACCATTTGTTCGATTTCAATAAACGGAACACACAAATCGTGATCAAGCGTTAATTACATCAGAAGAGAGGACAGCAGATGGTTGTCTGTATCTGAACAGCGTATCTGCATGCAAAGCACCATGCAACCTGGCGTCTCAGAGCTCAGTGTCACGCTATGAACGTTCAGCCTACCTTCGCACGCATCTCACTCGATCGGACAACATAGGCAAACTGTCCATTTTGAAAATAAATTATTTTGCTTGGTACGATGAACGAAATTATGGTCACTATAACACTCGACTGAAATAGAAGGCTTTGGGGCTGTATAAATTGGATCTCTAGGGCCCAAGTGAAAACTCGCCGAAACTTAGTGGGAAGATGTAAGCAAGGGCAATCTGAAAGGCTTTTGGTCACAGGCGATCGGATAAGACAAAGGAAATCAGGAGACGTCAATTCGATATCTGAAAGCGGGTGTTCTTGGGTAGCGCTTATGTTTGATCTCAAATCGAACTTGAATATGGCGGCAAATATGGTTTGTTGCCAAAAAAAAAAAAAAAAAAAAATCGATGTATGTCTTGAGGCTGAAGGAATCTGGAAGGAAGAATACAGAGATTACCCCAAACTTGGATTGTAAACTCCAGACAAAGTTACTAATACAGGCATTGATATATTTTTCTGTAAATGTCTTTTTGCGCTTTGGCTTTCTGTGTTGTACTAAGATGTAAGTGTAGCGTAATTGTTATCAACATCAAAGCTGTTTTTCCCCCCACTATAGATTAAATAACAAGGTAGAGTGGGCTCGTTAGCTGTGGATGGAAGCCAGTATATAAGAAAGACTACTGTGAATTCAAAAGTGGGGACGGCATTCAACTATATTTCCCCAAAAGACATCGCAATTCATAGATAATAAAGAAAAAGAAGCTATAGAAGCGGTAGAAAATGATTGCTTAAGTCTTGGAATTAATAGCGTAAAGAATTGGGTTAAACTCTAAAGAAATAAGTAAACCAAACTTGTTTCTTTAATTCAGTATTTCATTTCAGAGATAAGTAATTGTCAATATACTTTTGTTGCGGGCCCGGTAGCATGCAGTGCTGGTTTATTAAAAGGTGGCCTTGTGCCAGACACTACTTGTGACTACCGAATCCACAAACAAAGTAAAAATATTAAACGAGTGATCTTTTGTGAGGAAAAAGGGTCATTTAACACATGCACAAAAATAGTAAAATATAGATAGCCAGGATTAAACGACAAAATGAGTCTGGTGGAAAACATATATGAAATTTTATTTTAATAACAAATAATCTTGTCTCAACAGTGGAGACTATCAGGAAAGGTAAGGTCTGTTTTTAGCCTGTAGGCTGTTAGTAATATGTAGAGACTAATAAAATGTTAAAGTTCCGCGCCAAAACAGAAAAAACCAATATGGCTAAGGCGGAAAAGTTTCTTCAGAATGAAAGTTCTGGAATATTGTCTTTTTGTACGAAAGGTGGAAGCATACACAACAAGGAAAAAAATACTCACAGCGAGGTTTAATAATGTGTGTGTAATGTTATCTTTTTTTGGAACTGGTTCGTAAAGGTTAGAATTCAAAAGAGGTGTATGAAAAGTTCATCAATCTTCAGTGAAGGAAAATTCTGAGTTGTTCGCATCAAGACGAGGAATTTGGTCTTGGAAAAGTGTGGTGACGACAGTATCGTAGAACTCTGGTAGTGAAAAGAGGAAAATTTCGAAAGTTGTTCGCATCAAGACGAGGAATTTGGTCTTGGAAAAATATATTGACGACAGTTTCTACATTTGAAAACGAAAACGGAGGAAAGTTCAACATGCTGTTCGCATCAAGACGAGGAAAAATCTTGGAAAAGTGTGATATCGACATGTTGAAATTTTGGTTAGTTAAGAATAAGATATTCCGGCCCGCGTATGGGTTAGGCGCACGGAATAAATGAGTTGACCTTCTAGCTTGAAAATTAGGCCGCAACTAACTTGAAAACGCTGTTCGTCGGTGACGTCAGGACATGCGCGGGAAAATTTTCAAATTCTGATCCTAGACGGTATCAGGAGTAGCCAGCAACCTCCCTCACGTCAGCGTTTACTGCTACATCTAGCTGAACGTGACAGGAAGGAGTGCAATTCGCGCGCACGCGCGCAAAAGGTTGGAATTCACGATTCCACACTTTCATTATTTCGTATTATTGTTCCTATTTTGATTGATATAGATTTTATTATAGGCACAACATTATATATATATATATATATGTGTGTGTGTGTGTGTGTGTGTTTGTGTGTGCATTATATAGCACAATATCAGGTGTCAATTGTCTGGCTGATAACTGATACCTGTTGTTTGACCCTTTAATGCCAGTTATTGTCCATTCCTTCTGAACCAGTATTTTCGAGGTCGTGAGTTCAATCTCTCCATCAGGTAGTGGAAATAATGATTTAGCTGGCACGAACAATAAATAGCATCGCAAGAAGAAACAACACAATACTTAACAGGTATCCGATATTAGCCAGACAGTTGACAACTGATGATGGCCAGAAGCTACTTGGTCGAAACGTTGTATCTATAGTAGGGGTGGCCAATTTGCGGCTCGCTAGTAACATGCTGGCTGATTTCCATAAAACAATCATAAGACAAGATTTTTTTAAAAAAATGGTATATATATGCGTACTTTGTGATTACAGATGCCAATACAAAATATCAGTTTAAAAACTGCATATATGAATAAATATTATTCCATACATGCATTTCTTAATATTTATATAAACATTTCTGTAACAAAATGTGTGCTGAAAAACGTATCTGTAAATTTTGTTCATGATTTGTGGCTCTTAAACATCTGAAGTTTTCAAGTTTGGCAATATAATAAAATCTATACCAACCAAAATGAGAACAATAGTATAAAATAATACAAAAAATATATGGTTTTCCTTAATCTATTGATTCGAACATTTGTGTTTTTAAATTCAGCTGAAGAGTAGATACCTGCCACTTTCCCAAAGCATTTCTTTTTATATTCGTCTCTGTGTTTTATTTTTCTTGTTCATTCGCTAAAAAGCCCAAGAAAAATTTCATTTTTTGTTAAATAATTTGTGTATGGAACTGATGACAGTGCAACAATCTTAAAAGCCTATTGCCAATATCACTTCTTTATCTCTTAAAAAAGATAAATTGCCTTGTGATAAAAAGTAAACGATGCAACAATTTCTGTTTTATATGATTTGTTTCTTTGGAAATACAGTTATGACAGTGATAATTAACATAATTCTTATCTGTTAATAAATTCTTGTGATAGAAAAGGAGAGTTTAAAATCAGTGATTATAAAACAATTTCATCTTTTATTAAATTCAGCCGAATAATATTTGGTTTGTGGAACGTCACACAAATATTTGAAAGATTTATTGACGAAACACATCCAATCATCCTTTTGCATTATGCTTTTTTAAACCCATAATACTTTCTTCACCCCATAATAGTTTCTTCACGTCATAATACTTTTTTTACCCCATAATACTTTCTTCATCCCAAATACTCTCTTCATCCCATAATAATTCTAGTGTTAGCTTAAACTAACAACTGTTTTTTCAATATATTTAAACTATATTTTTTATATATTTTTTAAACTGCACTGAAACAGGTTGCAAAAATTTCAACTTTTCGTTTGAAGAAAAGACAAACTTTAAACAAATTGGTAACAAAATATACAGAAATAAGAGGTGTCAGATTAAACAGACTCCAAGAAGATATGAGTTTATCGGCAAATTTTAGAAGAAACTTTTATTACATCTCCAGAAACTTTTCCAGAATTTCAAACGTTTCCGGATCAACGCTAATTGAATGCATTTTCGGTGAGACTCATTTTTAGAATTTCTTGGCGATCGAATTGTTTCAATTTGACTAACGTGTCTAGCGTCAAGTGGAAAAGTCATCGCTTTCATCATCCAACATTTCTTAGATACGTTAATTTGCACGTCTCATAAATGATTATCGACCTTTCAGGTAAAACTGGTCGCTTTGCTCTCACCGCTGACAAATTCACAGCAAAAAGCATTCATCAACGGTTGACGTCATATCTTGTTCTGCAGTAGAACAATCAACTGCGGATTTCACTTAACTGAGTTTTATAATCACCAAACTTTCTGAAGAAGTCACGCTTTCTAAAGCTGCATTTTTAGAACAATCAGTGAAAGATATTGTTTTAGCAATTCTTCTCAAAGTTGAATTCAGAAAAAAAAAAAACAACGTTCTGTGTAGCTAAAACCATTATACGTTTCTTATATTTATTAGAAGCTACAAAAACAATCGACATTAACTTTCCAAACCAAAATCGAAAAATATTCTCTTCTGAAAAGCTGCCATTTCCATCATATTTTCCCAGTTATCAACTAAAAGAATTTATTAAGAAAAAACAGAAAAAAGTGAACAAAATTTGTCCAAAGAATTTGTCGGAGTTAACTCCTCCTTAATTTCCTGATTGTTCACTAGATGTCGCTCTCCCTACACTATAAATACTGAGCGATTTCTCGCCTCGTTCTCTTTTTCACTTTGCATTTCAGCGAACACATTTAAGAATGTGATCTCGCAGAAATCTGCCTTTTCGTCAACTTGTGGGAAAATACTATGAAACATACTTACACGTACGTACGAACATTCACTAAAATACAAATACTTTACGTTCACACACAAACACAAATGTTCATGTCTTTGTCACTTGTAAATTTTACATATGTATATCGGTCTTTTTTTTTTTTTTTTTTTTCATCTTCGGTTAGACTCAACTTGAGTCCGCCATGTTCTTGTAGTTGGACCTTCTTCTAGCAGGAATAAATTGCACGTATTCCTAATTTAACAACACGTAAACCCACATGGTCCTCTACAATTTAAAATAAACATTTTACACAAGATGTCTTTCTCCTTTCCAATAAAATAGAAAAAATTATTAAAAATATTTGAAAAATATTTTTCAAGTAAAACATTTTAAAATCTTTTCCAGTTCTTTATTCTGATAAAGATGGAGATTCTCAGCAAAACTCGGAAGGAAAAGCGCGACAAATATTTGTCTCTTTTGTCAAACTCTATGCAAATGGTGGATAAAATCCAAATTGAAATCGAGTCATCAACTTTAGGTTCACTTTTTAAGGTCGTCTACTAAGATAAAACCGTGAAAGTAGCACAAATTTTCATCTACATATCTCCAGTTTAACATTGTCAACAACAATTTACAAAAAGCACAGTTTTAACAAAAGCAGAAAGACTTTTTTCTATTTCCCATAAATATTTCTGGAAAACAAAGAGACAAACGATTCAAAGAATCCTGCTTGCTAATCAACCCACGTACAGAGAAATTCATATACAATTTAAAAATATCTCTTCAAACCTTATAAAATTGTGAGTATTTTTCTAAATTTAAGAGCTACTTTCTCTTTTAATTTTTTTCTTAATACACAATTTGTGAACAGCAAATACATTTTTCATCTTTATATATTGAGTACGAGGAATTAATTTTTGTCATTTTGCTTTCTTTTCAGATTTGGCGACATTCTTTATATTTTGCATTTATATTTTTGATATTTTGTTCACAAATCCTTAGATTTCTTTAATTCATTTATTTATCTTGCACAAATCTCAACATTTTTGATTTTTTTATATGCAACTGATGTGAAGACAATGGGACGGAGACATTTTTGTCATACAAAGTTTTATTTTTCTTTCATTTTAAACCGAGGAAGCCAAAGAGCGCATATACTTCTCCGGCGAAACGCGTCTTTAATAAAAAGTTCTATTTCATCACATCGTCTTCACTTTTGTTTCGACTATTATTATACATACCACAAACACGCATACAATCGATGTTCACCAGATCTCAGAATTTGGCGCTACCCCCCCCTTTGATGCTTTATCATGTATGTCCGTGAATACAACTCAAACAAATGACTTTCTGAATTAGGATCAAATCGGGCCGAACAATCGAAAAAAACGTCTCATTAAAATAAGTTTCCAAATAGTCATAAGCTTCCTTGTCAGCATTCATGTCCACCGGATATCTACGTCGATATGCCCTGTCTAAAATCCATAACCTTTTTTTTTACATTTTTGTCTCTTTGGCACATCCTGATAAACATTCCAAATTCAAATTTATTGCTAATAGCTTTATAAGGCTTTCTATGAACATAAAATACCAAAATACTGTCACAGAAAAACAACTCTAGGTCATTATAAAAAAAACCAAAAAAACAAACAATTCTTGCACGTCCATTTTCACATCGTTCAGCCTGTGTTACCTTCTGACGGTAACACGTACACATATCGGGTGATTTTGTAGAGGACCGTATGGGACTGTGTGTTGTTGAATTGGTAGAGGACCGTGTGGGTTTGTGTGTTGTTGAATTGGGAAACACGTGCTATTTATTCCTGCTAGAAGAAGGTCTAACTACAAGAAAATGGCGGACTCAAGTTGAATCCAACCGAAGATGTAAAGAAAACAAACAAGATATATATATATATATATATATATATATATATATATATATATATATATATATATATATATATGTCAACAAATGCACGTATTAAACAACAAATTTACAAGTGACAAAGACATTAACATTTGTGTTTGTGTGTGTGGAAGAAAAGAGTTTGTTCTTTGGTGAATGTTCGTACGTACGTGTATATGTGTTTCATGTTCACGGCGTCTTCCCACAAGTGGGAGACGTTATCTTTTTCGAGAGCTTACATTGTAGATGTGTTCGCTGAAATGAAGAAATGAAAAAGAGAACGAGGTGAGAAGTCGCCCAGTATTTATAGTTTAGGGGGAGTGATCCCTAGTGGACAATTAGGGAATTAAGGAGGAGCTAACTCCGACAATATATTAGCGAGCAGATATTTTTTCGTTTCTCGTAACGCGTTTAGAAAATACATTCAGTACTTTTGTGATGAAACGTTTTAAATACTAAACATAACTGAAATATTATACAGTATGCAAATTTCTTCAAAAGAACACGGTCACCTCAACAGAATTCAACGAGATTACATCGAAAAACAAATCTAAAAACTCAAGCCGAATTTAAATATTCATATGTAAATAATAATTATAGATAATACTCATTCAAAATCGATGAGAATAGGAAATAAAATTTTAAATGCAAAAGGAATAAGTATTTTTATTCAGTAGCTCTCATATATTGCTGTCTAAGTATGGCCTACTGTCTAAATGATTTGAGTGTAGCATATATATTTCTTTTTTTCAAACATCTACTTTTCCAATGTTGTTCAGTGTTAGATTAGCTTTATTTCATTGCCATCACCTTCCGATACCTATGATCAGCCATATTTGGTTTTAAAGTCTCTGTACGAGTAAGAGTTTTTCAATGCTTCTCAAGGCTGATTTTTATGAAGCGGCTTGTACCAATGCTACTTCAAGGTATGTTGTATACACAGTTCTTGGTCACGTTTTCTTCCAGTTTAGTGAGATAGCTGTCTGTATGCAATGGAGCAATTTTTTAATAACAGGCTCATCATATACTGAACAAAAACATTATATACATCGCCCAGGGTTGATCAGAATAAATGACTCTACAAATAAATAATTACTCCACGAACATAATATCAAGTTTGAGTTTGTGAATGTTGACAAGATTGTGTGTTTTGTCTGCATTCTTTAGGTGAAGATGCGCCTTCAATATAGAACCAAAGAAGATAGAAACACACAAAAAAGAAGCCTTGAGTTTCTGCTACGGACGTTTATTTTCTTTTGATTGTATTGAAACAAAGTTAAATGTCTTGAGTCCGTTTTCCTTTTTGGTTCAGAAATTATTAAGTAAGGATACGAACTGGTAAATATGATGTTTTGTGTTCAAGTCAGCCTCGTCGAATCTTTACTTCATGAGTAGGACTGCTGAAAACATGTCCGAACGAGATCTTCTTAGAAAGTAGAAAGATAAAGATTATGTCCTTTCCAGAAGTAGGGTCATCAAATCGTACATGTGATCAGTCTCTCTATCCGGTTTCTTTATTAACTTGCATCATGGGATAATGAATTTATTTATTTATTATTCTTAATTATTTTATTTATTGGTTTTATTTCATTTTCCTAAAAGTTTAGTAAACAATGAGAAACTGGCTCTGAGATAGAGTGGTTGCAGGTGTAAATGTAATGGAGTCAAACAGAAGAGATTTTATTTCACGGGCTAATTGAAAATCTATTCTGGTTAATTAATTGTTCATTTACATGTGAGTAAATATAGGTGGCAAGCTGTGGTACAAGCAACCTATAATCATTTTTTGTCTCAAAAATACGACAATTGTATGGTAATGGAAATGATGAGATTTACCGTTTCCATGCAGGAAACATTCGACATTCATTGATTTAACAGTTAACATCTGTCAAAATCTATGAAGTCTTAAAACAATTTTTCAAGAAAATAGGCTTCTCAAATCCACTGTTATCGCTCTTTACAGTATTGATGGGAATTTCTTTCCTAATTTAGGGCAGTTATAACTAAGTAAATAATTATTAACCTCCTATATACAAACATAATCGTAAAAATGAGAAACAGAAAGACATGGAAACAACAAAACAAGTATTATTTATTATATCCTTGTTATGTTGTATTGGATCTCGTATGTTTTTTTTTTTTATATAAATGAGTGTAAAAAGTGTCCAGATAATTTTGTTGGAAAACACAAAAAGTGCCTGGGGTATTCTTACCTCGAATTGTTGTTGAGCGCTAAGAGATAAATATTACCATTATGGCTTGAAAAAAGAAAAGGAGATGAAATTTTCACCGACACACGTGTTGATGGCCTGTCAGTGATGACTGTTTGTCCGATAGTGAGAATGTCACGTGTGTGTGTGTGTGTGTGTGTGTATGCGTGTGTGTAGAGAAGAGTAAGGCTGATTTTCATTGGTTTAGAAAGAACGAATTAGTGATAGCTATCATTATTATAATTATTTTATTATAATTATTTTTGACACTATAATTATTTTTTATTTATGTATTTTTTATGGACACAACACGTTTACTATAGTGGCAAATGTTAGAATCTTGATTATATAATTATTTTCCTTATTATTATTATTATTATTATTATTATTATTACATGTGCTACCTTAGTTGTCATTGCCAGTGGAAATTATCAAACGATGTGGATTTGTCATTTGGTAATGTTCTTTATGATTTTGTACAGCCAATCTATAAGATATGATGAAAGATTGTTTTCTTTAAGACATAGAGGATTCATTCACTTGAAACCATTTTTAATTTGTAAAGTGAGAAAACGATTTTATATAGCTTATACTACTGACATTTCTGAACAAGCTGGATATCTATATTAGAACCCAGAAATGACAAGGTTATCTAAGAACATAATGTAAAAAATAAGAAAACAATATTTAAAATTTTAATAAATTCCTGAACTCTTCAGAATGGTTAGCAGGTCAAACTTACTGTTAAAGTCATTACTGTTTATCAGAAGTTTCTGGTCAGCTGAATTCATTGGTCACTTTCTGTCTAGTTCACTAAAAAGTCGACACCCAACATCAGCCATCTGTGAAGACAAAAACCAAAAGATGTTCTGATGTCAAAGAGTAAGAACATAAAATGGATAAGTAGAAAGATAAAGATAAATCAAGAGAAACATGAACGTTGGGATCATGATTTTAACAAAACTGTTGAGTTTCATCTTGCAAGTAATTTCCCAATGTTTTATCACACTTCTCCTTCACTTCCATTTTCTTTTTTTTTTGCTGAATCTTTCTATTTTTTTGATTTCCGCTGATTTTCTTTTGTCTTTTAGTACCAAATCAACTTCAACAATATTTTCCTTCCCATCACTCTGTCGTTGGTTTTCAACATCGCATTTTTAGTTCCCAAAACAAAGAAACAGAAAAATTTCATCAGAAACAAAAAAGAGCACAGAACTGTTACATATTAGTGTTCCTTCAATATGTCAGTGAAGGCTGGAAAATCTCTTCACAGATGAAGAAGAGACTTAAAACAACGGAAATGTGGTTCTACAGAAGGATACTGAGTATAGCATGGGCCAAACATGTGAGCAACAACAAAGTTTTAGAGAAAATGGAATAAAAAGGACACATATCGAAAAGAGATAATCGAAATTTCCAGAGCATATAATGAGGAAAGAAGGCTTAGATAATTTGATACCCACAGGACAAAATGAAAGGACAGTGGAAAGCAACATGTAAACTTCCTAGCAAGCTTGATTAAATGGATGACAGAACAGGGTTTAAGAGAGATAACGAAAAGAGAAAATTTATTAACAAATACAAAGGACAGGAAATTGTGGAGAGCCATGATCGTCTATATCCTGAAGTGACACGGCATATAGAACAAAAAGAAAAATATACAGAGCAGGAATGCTGAAATACATATACACACAAGCATAGTTAATAATCAGACATTTTTTTAACCTCATATGAGGAATAGACTATTTTGGCAGACGACACTGGGGTTGAAAAGACAACCATTTTTGCTGTCTGCTGAAACAGTCTATTGCCCATATGAGGTAAAAGGAATTGTTTGATTATTAATTATATTGCTGTGTATAAACAAAATATATTGAACCATCTTTTGTCAATCAGTTCTAATATTTTCATATTACTAGGATCCACTTGGTATAAATGCCAACAGATTATTTACCTTTTTGTATATATATATATATATATATATATATATATATATATATATATAAGTGAACATTGAAAAAGACTCAGAAGTGACAGACTGATTCATGCTAAATGCAATCATCAGGCCACCTGATGATTGCATTTAGCATGAAAACAGTCTGTTGCCTCTGAGTGTTGACTTCAATGTTCGCTTTTACATTTACATACGCTCTGTCTCTGATATTGGCCACTTTATCCCATAAATATAGCACACCTTAAAACTATATTTCTTCATATATATATATATATATATATATATATATCCAGGGGTGCATGTGTGTATGTGTATTAAACAAGTTTTAAATTAGATATACACATTGAGGATATAGAAATCAACACTGCAGGATGATGATCACTTAAGTCAATCATATGCTGATCACTAAATTTTATGACACTGCCAATCACCAAACAGTGGTGATTTGTATGTCCACACTGATTATATCTATTAACAATCTATCGTTAATATTAACTTCTCTTCCACTTAATGCATGAAGTTGACAGTCACTATGCAGTATTGATTTTTATGTTTGGACTGTTTCTATCTATAAACCTTCTCTCTCCAATAATGAGAAACATAAATAAAGCAAATTTTAATCGAATTTAACACATAATTGCCATGACTTAAATAACATGATCCAACTGAGAAATAAACAAATTTTCATCAATACACTGATTTATTTACTGCTGACTTTGATCTGTCTTAATGAAACACCCTTATATATAATCCATCTTAATGAAACACCTTTATATATAATCCGACTTAATGAAGCACCCTATATATACAGGGTATCCAAAACAATTGACATCATTTTGTAGTCTAATAACATAGTGAATTCCCACTCAAATGAACTCAAATTTTTAAAAAAATATACACAAACTAAGTTGACCGTGCAAACTTATCTAAATGATAATCTACCAGGAAGATGGATTGGCCGTGCCAGTGATAATGACAATATGCTGTTGAAATGACCATCATAATCACCTGACTTGACATCTGATTTCTTTCTATAGGTCTATGTGAAAAAGACAGGTCTATATGCGCCCCCTCTTCCTACAAGCCAAGAGGAACTTAAACAGAAAATCACTGCGACACTGGAGAATGTTATGCAAGACATGCTACAGCATGTTTGGCAGGAGCTGAACTACCTAATTGACATGTGCCATGTCACAGGTGGGGTGCATATTGAACATTGATGAATCTTTGTGAAGTCAGTTATAAAATCTATACATCTTTGTATATCTTGTTTGGATTTTGATAACTTCTATTTTTCAACATGAAGCCTATTTAATTTTGTTTGCCTGGGACAAGTAGTTACACAGATATTCACATTTTAAATGATGTTAGTTTTGGAGAGACACCCTGAATATATATATATATATATATATATTTACCATGTTACTTAAAAATTGAAAACTGAAAATGAACAAAAATAAATGAAAATAGATAAATAAAATAAAAAATAAACAAAAACAAATAAAATAAATGAATCCAAACAAATTAACAAACCATGTATGCACAAATAAACACAAGAAAACATATAAGTAATAACAACCAATAATAAAATAACCAATAATAAATAAAAACATTAACTAACAACACTATAAATTGGCAAAAAACTACTTTTGATTCCAGTATTTTTCCCCACTCAATAAGCCCTAGAATAATTCAAAACATTTAGTGCCCAGTAAAGTGACCATGAGAATAATACAACAGACTACCCACAATGCAATATAAAAGAGTGCATCACTAATCATCACTAATCAGTATATATAAATAATTTAGCAAAAGCACAATGCACATGGCTTGACGATTATGTTTAGCATGAAACAGACTGTTGTTTCTGGATGCTGACTTCAATATTCATTTATATATATATATATATATATATATATATATATATCACTTGTATATTTTTGCTTGAATTGGTTTCTAATGCTCTGGATGGAACAGCTTGAGGATAGAAGATGTGGCTCATGGGGCACAGTCCGTTGGATTAAGGAAAGTCAGATGAGTTACACAATGGAATTTGTGAAGAGCGACATTACATCGAGTCTAATTCATTATCTCTTCATCACGATATTGAGTCACCCCCCCCCCCACGAGGGTGTCATGTGGCACAAGGCCTTTTTAACGTGGGCATTCCGAGTCCGTGGGCTCGGCCAAAAATATGCCCATTGAACCCGTATAAACGGGTTCAGGGCCGGTTTACCTCCCCGAAGGAGACTCCGCCCTTTAGCAGAGCCTCCGTCGGGTTCCTCCCGTCCGTAGGAAGAGAGTTCAACCGAGCAGTCGGTTCAAAAGTGAACGACTGACTCACTTTATCTCTTCATCACTGACGCCCATTGGTACATGTGGTATGACACGTGTGTAATATCGTAATGGTCCAGGTTCAATTCTTGGTAGTGTATGTGCACTGCTGATGAGTCCCAAATATAGGACAAAAAGGCCATCCAGTGCTTTCTGCATTCTGTTGAGGTTTCTTCTCGGCTCAATGAATTACTTAATTATGATTATTTCAAATCCTCTTAATAATTTCTATCACTTATATATATATATATATATATATATATATATATATATATATATATAATTGGATCACTCACTGTTAGGTAGAATGATGATTTTTGTGTGTCAAATACATTCAATCTTGTGGGTAAAATTCAGATAAAATTTTCATTCTTCTGCCAAATTTAATGTAGTCAAATTCATACAAATGAATGCTCTAATATTTCTCCATTATTGTAAGATTCAGCACTTGCTATCACTTCTCATAATATCTGATTAGCTCCACTATCTTTTATTAGCCAGTAATATTTTGAGACAGCTGTATTATTTTTGTATTTTCCATTACTCATGCATAGATTATGCTTTCAAAATCTTTGCTTCCACACCATTGCAACTGAACCAATCTAATATTTTCACTGCTTACCCTGTTTTATATTAGTTCTATAAATATTACCAATCAAATCACACAGTTTATGTAAATTGTAATATCATATAATTGTATGTACATATGTATATATATGTAGGTATGGATGTACATCCTTATATATGTATATGTAGATATGCAAATTATATTTGTGTGTATACATGTAATACATTCAAAATATTCATAACATATATAAATTGTATTAAAATTTTTATGGGAGATATTGAGGGTATATATGCATATAAATATATATATACAGTAGCGTCCAAAACTAAGGGACAAAATTTTAAAATATATGCATATGACAAAGTCGTTATCATCCATATAACATACGAAAATTTAGCGCAAAGGATAAAAAAAATTATAACAATTATTTATTTATTTTCAAAAAACTAAGGGACAAAATTTAAAACCTATATTCAAATTTTTGATTTCCTTAAAAATAACAACTCATTTGTAAACGTTGCAAAAAATTTGAATGGCGAAACTGCCAAAAACATTGTTTTTTCTCAATTTTGTCCCTTACACAAGGAAAAGCACACCATTAGAGAGATTTCAGAGAAAATGAAAACGTTAAATAAATAATTGTTTAATTCTTTTTTTTTGTTAAATCCAATTACAAATTTTTCAAGAGAAGATCGAATTTTTAAAGGACCGTTTTAAGTTGTACAGAAATTAAAATTATGAATGATAAATGCGTCAAGACAGACTGTTTGTACGAGTTGTTAATCAAACCCCAGGAAGAAACCACTTGTTAGTCTTTTAGAGTTTGCAAACAGGTATGTAATTTGGACATGAAAATATTTTCAGTGATGAAAGCAAGTTTTTTATTTGGAAATGATGGAAAAAACAATGTAAAGGGACGTATTGGTGAAAGATTAAGTGCAAAGTGTACTAAGTTTGGGGCGGAAGGTCATGGTATTTGGAATGTTTTCTAGCCAAGGTACAACGCCTCTTGTCGGTTACAAACTCGTGTAAACGCGCAGATCTATAAAAACATTGTTCAAAGATCATGTTACAGCTAATCATACAGAATTATTTCTATACCTTTATGCAAGATATGCCCCATATGGTAATAGTTATATATATATAGAAAATATATATATAACACGGAGGATTTTTTCAAGAAGAATATCGAGGATTGTCAAAACTGATTCGGATATGTATATTTTACTAAATATTGATTGTACATATATTTTATTGTTTTTTGTTTGTTTTTCTCAATTTGTCCCTTACTTTGGACGTTCCAAATTTGAAAATAAATATATTTTTTCTATCCTTTGCAAATGATTCAAATTTTAGTATGTTATTATGATGATAACGACTTAGTTGTCAAAATTTCAGCTTTTCACAGTGTTTCTAACAAATATTAGGTTTTAAAATTTTGTCCCTTAGTTTTGGACGCTACTATCTATCTATCTATCTATCTATATATATATATATATATATATATATGCATTTTTTCATATATTTGAAAACATGGATATGTATATATTTTGCATATTTGTTCACATTTGTTGTGTTACAATATATATATTGTGTATGTGTATGTGTTTTTTATAAATTTCTTTCTGATTTTAATCAATATTTTTGCAAATATGTATATATATATACATATATGAAGAAATTAGTCTTAAGATGTGCTATATTTATAGGATAAAGTGCTCAATATCAGAGATAGTGCATATATATATATATATATATATATATACACACACACACACACACACATATATATATATATATATATATATATATATATATAGAGAGAGAGAGAGAGAGATAGATAGATAGATAGATAGATAGATAGATAGATATTTATATCAAGTGTTTTTTTTTTTCTGTAATGACCTTTTGCTGACCTATTGTTCCTCTCTTGCACTGAAGTCACCAATGCCAGTGTTTATGACAATGCTGGACTCTTTCAAAATAATATAAAGGTAGGTGTAAGAACGGATGATTTCATGAAAGTGTGAAGAACAATGTACTATTTTTATCATATATATATATATATATATATATATATATATATATGGGGCGGGGTATAAAATATATATATATATATATATATGTATGTATGATATGTGTGTGTGTGTGTAATGATACTTCTGGCCCTGATGTTTACTTATGTCTGATATGCACAAACAAATGAAATATATTTTATATATCTTAAAGATTCAATTCCCTCAGAGATAGAACTTTAGTTTTGTGTAAACATCTTGTGTAAAATGGAATCATTGCACACACATACACATGCACACACATAAACACAAACACACACGCACACACATTATATCTTAATATTTACATGAAAATATAGCTGTGCAGCCATTTCTTTCTTTCTCTCTTTCTTACTCTCTTTCTGTCTCTCTTTCTTTCTTTCTTTCTCTCTTTCTTTCTCTCTTTCTTTCTCACTTTCTGTCTCTCTTTCTCTTTACATTGTTTTCTTTCCTGTTTTTTTCAGCAACTTTTCAACTTATTTTTATTCAATCTGTAAGACTTTCGATGTTTTCCTTCTTCTCCAGTATGTTTAGCTCCCAAATTGTTTCTGACAACAAATAATGCCCACAACTTTGTTTTGCTATTTAAACAAAAGCAAGGTCAATAAAATTGCCATCAACATTAGAACTCCATTCAGATTTCACAAAATAGACTGATTGGTTAATTCAGACAGTTTGGTTTTGTTCCAAGATTTCAAAATTCATATTAGGAAATTTTCTTCCCAACTCTCTTAAAAATTTGATGCAGACGGACAATAATAAAATCAGTTGAACTCTGAAACATTTTATTTAATTATATTTCTTCAGATCATTTGTTCTTAGAAATTGTTTAAGTAATATAATAGCCATTTACTATTCTTTTTCAGAACCTGCCTGTCTGCCAGGGTTGCTAGCCAAACCCTATTACAAATGCCTGCTCAACTTACAGAACAGAACTTAATTACAATCTCTAGGAGAGAGGGCATAATCTGATATGATCAGTTTTTTCAACAAGCACAGTTTACTGAAAACCTCATCCATGATGACTTGTGACTTTATGCTATTATGGTCATTGATAACTTCTGAACAGCTCCATCTGCTTGATTTAACCCACAAGGCTTGGGTCAACCCATGTTATGGCTTCCAGATACTTTTCCATATGTGATGTGCACTGGGATCACATTTATAGCAGCAAATCAACCATAGTGAGATTTGAATGTGAGCCACATAGAAATGTGAACATTAAGTAATAATGTTGGATATTTAGTAGAAATATTGTTATTTTTTATGCATCCAATAAGAATCCTTCTAGCCACGCTTAGAAAAGCATGTCAGAAAAGGATGGCAAAGTGTATTAGACTCAAGGGGGATTACTCTGAAGGGTAAACCATGTAGTCTGTTGTTTGGAATTGAAATAAATTGTTTGTGAAACCAGTCCCATTACTTTTCAGACAGACCTTGTATATTGATAATACGTTACATATATTGAAAATTCAAAATGGCCACACTTTGCTTTCCCCATAGCTATTAATCTGTTCTCAACTGAAGTACTGAAGACTTTTTATCACCTCTTTGCTCAAGTTTTTCACGTTTGATACATTTTAGTATGAGATACATGAAGCATTACTTTCCGATATGGGCCACATTGCGATGTCCATACGATTAATGTCAGGGTCTGATGGAGACTAAATTGATTCTTTTTCACAATGCTATCTAGTGACCTATCAAAAATATCCAGTTCTTTTGCTAAATTCTTCATGCTTCTTCATGAATTTCTCTTCTTGATGGCTTCAATAGCTCTCCTGGTATGAACTGAATGGTTTTTCTGATCCAACTGTTTTATCGCCTCACAATTCTTTATACCAGACATTTTCAATGTGACAAATTGATCATGCTTTGTTTGAGCCACCATAATTAATTAAACTGTAAATAATAGACCAAAAGAATGTTAGGAAGACTTATGTAGAATTTGAAACTATTTTTATGACAGAAATATTTTGTTAGAACCAAAGAAAAGACTACTGAATTGTTGGGCAATCTCCTCACAAATGAAGTAGAAACTTGAAGCAACAGAAATGTGGTTCTACAGAAGGATGATAGGGATACCATGAACCAAATATATATTTTAGGGCACATAATGAGGAAGTTTGTTACTCATAAGGCAGACTGAAAGCAAGAGGGAGAGAGAAAAACAACAGATATCTAGCAAGTTTGAGTAAATGAATCAATACTTTATGTTTAAGAGAGATAACAATAAGAGAAATCAGACAAAATTTATTAGGAGCAAAGGACAAGAAATTGTGGAGAGCCATGATCATCTAAGTCAAGTGGGGATATAGACATAGAAGAGAACTGTTCATTTGGCAATAAATTGTTTTGAAGATATGTTAGCCTTACATGTAAGCATGATTTAATTTAATTGTTCAGAATGGCCCATTAGGCTTTTTCCTTTCTGTGATATAATGGCTGTGTTATGTGCCCTTGGCCTGATGAAATTAGGTCTCTCAGGACTTGCTATTTTCTCTTTCTCAGGCCACATCCTTTTATTTGTTGAATATGACATTGGTAGGTAAATGTCTATAGTATCTCTGCTTTGGGAAAATGCTTTTAATCCCATTTTTACTGTCTGTACCATTCTTTCTGCAATCCTATTAGCCTTTGGGTGTGGTATTTTGTAAGGGAAGCGTCCAATCCACCTCAAGCAATTACATAGATCTTCATTGCAAAAGTCTGGTGCATTGCCTGATACCAATGTTTTAGAGTTTCTAGAAAATACTACTCTTAGTATTTGCTTTATTGTAGTCATTATTCTATCATTAACTTTAATGATTTCTGACCATAACAAAAAGGAGTGTAATAGAATTAGAAATAGACCCATGCCATTAATGTGTGCATGGTCCACATATAAACACACAAGGTCTATAGTGTTTTGTTTATTTATACCATAAGTGTAATCTCCTTTCTTGAAAATTCTTTATTTCTACAAATTTTGGATATTTGTGTACTTATCTTTCTATATCAAGATAATACCCTAACCACAATGCTTCCAATTTTAATCTCCTCTCAGTAATTATCCCACAATGTTTATTATTATCATGTATACTTCTTAAAATATCTCTTCTCGCTGTTTCTGGTGGTACTATCATATCTTCATCACATATAACACTGTTTTCCATTGTTAATTTATGCCTTATTTCATTAAAAGGTCTTTCAGCTTTGAAACAATCACTCCATCTATTTCTTCTTATTCTCTCAGCAATCTGGCTTAATATTTAATCTTGTCAAGTTTTCAATATGGATCTTTGGTATGGTCAGCTTCAAACCAATGTAATATTTCTTCCTTTGAGATTTCTAGTTTTTCTTTTTGATTCTTATTAAATTTTTGATTCTTATTAAATTGTAGCCTTGAAAGTGCATTGATATTTAGTATTTTATTTCCTTTTATGTACTCAGTGTCAAGATCATAAGTCATTAATTTTATGGCCCATCTTAAAATTTTGAAACTGTTGAGCTTTGTGCTTAAGACACTGGCCAATGCACCTTTTTCAATATTTGAATAATTTATTTCTCCTGTCATCAATCGTCTTAAAAGATATATTATTGGAAGGCCTTCACGTGATAAAATTGCTAACACAACTCACTCACTCACATCCATTGTTAACATAAACTCCTTTCTAGAGTCAAAGATTTTTACAATGGGTTTTTCTGCGAGTATCTCTTTTAAATTCTTAAATGCTAAGCTTTCCCTTTGAGGCCATTTAAATTCACTATTCCTTTTCTGCAGTTCAGCAAATGGTTCTATTAAGTCACTGTATTTTAATAGGTATCTATTATAAAAATTTACCAATCCTAAAAAGAATTCTAATTCGTTTTTATTAGTAAGTATAGATACCACTGAAATTTTCTTAATTAACTTTGGATCTGGTGTAATACCATTTTTTGAAATTTGGTACCCTAAATATGATATTGTATCACAATTAAAATCACATTTGTCTCTGTTTATTGTCCTCTCCACATATTGCAACTTGTTTAACACATGTTCTGTTTTTTTGTCTTAATTAATCTTTAGTAATAACACCAAGGCAAATATCATCTTGATAAATAATAATGTTGCTGATTTTGTCAGTTAACACATTTTCCCATTACTCTCTGAAAAATGGCACTTGCCATTGTCACTCCAAAAGGCATGTTTATTCGTCTTAACAATGCTATGTGGCTGTTTAGTATGGTAATTTCCATGAATTTATTGTCAATCCCTATTTGATTGTAGGTCGATTTTAAATCAATTTTTAGAAAACATTTTTATGTCCAATAATTTGTGGATAGCTGTTTCGATATTGGGAATAGGAAAAGAGTCCAAACATATTTTATGACTTATGCCAATTTTAAAATCACCATATAATCTTAAATCCCCATTTGCTTTTTGCCTACAATGGAGAATCCCATTTACTGTTACCTGGAGGAACATGCTCCAAAATTCCCTCCTTTACCATTTTCTTTAACTTAGCAACTACTAAAGGTAGAAGGTGAATAGGTTATTTACGAGATTCAAAATAAGAGAAGGTAGTATTATCATTTAATTGTATACCTATTTTATAACCCCTTATCATTCCCATTTTTACTTTTTCTGATTTTATGTTACTAATTGTTCACCATATCTACCTTGAGTACATCTATACCTAGTTGTCTATAAATTCTTTTACATTCCACTAATGTGATGGGAATAATTTCAAATTGGTCACATTTTTCAAATGTTCCATTGAAGTATCCAAATGTTTTTACAAAAGATTTATCACATTGTCTCAGTTTCAGACAACTTTTTCTCAATTTCAGTTTGCCCATTTGTTCCCAGAAATTTTTTAGAATCAGAGTGATTCACTTGCATTAGAAATGTCATGTCATTTAATTCAATTTTTCAAAGGAATTCTTTTTCCTAGGTTTTTGTATTAAAAAATGTCATCGATTCTCTCTTTTTCCACTTTTTCTATATTGTCAATTTTCTTTTTGAATTGCATACAGACTGAAAATGATTTTTTTCTTCAGCAGTTATGGCAAATTTTTCCAAAATAGGGGCACTTTTTTCTGTCAATTTCATGCATATAGCAACATTGTTATATTTTTTATCAAGTCCAGCTGTTGTATAACTTTCACACATGCAGTTAAAGAAAAATTATTCAATTGTAATTTTTTCAATATCTTATATTTATGAAATATATCTGCCATACCTTCAGTCAACTG